CGGTTTAGGGTTAGGTTTAGGGTTAGGGGTTAAGTTTAGGTTTAGGGTTAGGATTCGGTTTAGGGTTAGGTTTAGGGTTAGGGGTTAAGTTTAGGTTTAGGGTTAGGATTCGGTTTAGGGTTAGGTTTAGGGTTAGGGGTTAAGTTTAGGTTTAGGGTTTACAGCGTGCTTCTTTCTCCGCACTGTTGTCGCCCTGTTGATGACGTCAGCGACGCGGTTTAGTCGGGCACGGTTTTGTCGTTCGCCCTTTTGTCGGTGAACCCCTGATATCATCATTTTGGAATACACAGTATATGAACTTTGAGATAGCACACAGTTCCCCAATTCTATCAATATGTATCCTGATTTTAAAATTTATTTCTTAGCTCCTTAATACAGCAGCATGTTAGACTTTCTCTTTATAAAGAATTCAAAGATCAAATTTACTCAGTGCTGAAACTGTTATCATTTTGCAATTCAGAGCTTCATTTTAATTTCATTATAATGTTCACAAAATTATCAGGCCAATTCACTTAAATGTTTATTTTGGCAGAATCTTAACTTACTTACCTACCCTGTTTCCCTGAAAATAAGACCCCCTTGGATAATAAGCCCAATTGGGCTTCTGAGCGCATGCGCTAAAAATAAGACCTCCCCTGAAAATAAGCCCTCCCTGAAAATATTGCAACACAGCAGCAGCCATGAGGTGACCATGTTCGCCGCCTCCTGCACCTCAAAAATAATAAGACCTCTCTGAAAATAAGGCCAAGTGCTTATTTTGGGGATCAAAAGAAAATAAGACCCTGTCTTATTTTGGGGGAAACATGGTACTTACTTACTTTCTTTAATAAGAACAGAATATCTAAATTGTTGCTGTTTTCTCAGTTAGTATGTTTTGCTATAGACAATGGAATAAATGGATCACCTGTCAGTTTTCTGGCTTCATTAACTCCATAAATTGAATTACAAATCACCAACACTAAGAGCAGCATCATTCTGTTTTAAACACTCCCAATGTTATAATATTTAGTTCAATGGTTTTCAATATCGGTAACTTTAACAAGTGTGAACCTCAACTCCTGGAATTTCCCAGGCAGCACTGTCCACATATCTTAAAGTTGTCAAACTTGAAGAAGAGTGACTTAGATTGATTAACTCTTAATTTCTTTAAATATCAACTATACCACTCCTTTTTTTCTGATTAAAACCTATATATATATATATTTGTTACTCCCAAAAATCTCCCTAACTCAATGATTTAGATGGCATTTCCTCCTGTCAGCTCCCACATACTCAAGAGCAAGGTTGCAGAAACATCTGTTGTCTGGGACAGAAAATATCTATGCTTCCCCTGTGCCAACATTAGCCTAGTCGACAAGTTTCCTTTGATCTCAAACACTGAGCTTCACTAGAAGCAGAGCTTATAATTTTAGGTCAGGGAAGAAAAGGCGGTGTTGGGGTGGGTGGGGGAGGACAGGACGACAAAAGTGAAGCTAAAATCATCTTTTCATTTTTAATGAAAACCTGATGAAAGCTCTCGGGTCTTTTCTATGAAAAGAAATAAACCCCAAGGTAGCGGAAAGGGAAAGATTGGCTCAAGAACAAAATAGCAGGAGGAAATATTCAGAAGATGCACCTGTTAATGGCACCCTGACAAATTCTATAGATGGTAAATACGCCTACACATAGATACTTAAAAAGATATAGGGCATTATTGGGAGGGAGTACACTCTGGAAGTTAATAAACAGATCCTACATATTCATTTATGGAAATTAGTCCTGCAAAATAAGCATGCATGAAGTTGTAACTTTTATTCTGTTTGCTGGGTAAATGCATTGAAGAAGAGGCATAATCTTTCAACATGAAGGCTAGTGAGGGAGCTCACATTCTGGAGGTAAATGCTGAAAGATAGACTAATACATCACAATTTCTTTCTTTTTATTCCCAACAGTCATATCAATTAATTCCTATATTGTACATCACATAAAAACTCATGTCCCCTTCCTCACATTTTTTGGGATCACCTACTACACCACACCTCAAGTGAAACTATTTTTAAAAAATGTATCCATATTTTTCAGAGTATAAAACACACTTATCCCCCCTAAAAGAGGGTGAAAATTTGGGTGTGTCTTATAACCGAATGTAGCCCTGCCCACTTGCCAGCCTCCACCCTTCGGCCTCTGAGTGTCCTCTCAAATGGAGCTTTTGGAGGCTGCAAACTCAGCCTCTCAAACTGAGCTTTGGGGGCTGCAAATAATATCAATAGATGCTGATAGGCAGAGGCAGAATTTTTTTTCCTCCCCAAAAACTAAGGTGCGTCTTATACTCCAGAGCATCTTATACTCTGAAAAATATGATATATATAAGAGTAGCTTTGGGTCTCTGGTGATCCAAAACCTCTGGAATAGCTTTCTGACAGTCCTACATGAGTTGTTTGACAGTATGTGTATGTATATAAATATAAATAAGGAATGGGGAGAAAAGTGTTCTATTGCTCATTAATGTTGGAACAATTCCCAAGATTTGTATGGAAGATGGAATTCATCTCTGTCAGTGATCCTCAACCTTTTTTTCACCATGGCCCCCCTTTGAATACCTTTTTTGACCATGGACCACCAAGACTTAATATTTAAAACATTACATTTCTTCAAGATCTTCTTCACAGATCCCTGTGATGACATCATGCCCTCCCAGGGGTCCACAGAGCACAGATTGAGAACCACTGATCTATGTTATCATACTGGGAAAGGCTGCCTACAGGGTCTATTGTTAGTTTTTGTTGCAGCAATCCCATCCAGAAAGCACACACAGGTAACTGATTCAGCAGGATTCATTAACTTTTCTTTTTATATAATATAACACATGAAGTAAATATGCAATACCAAAAGCAGGTTTTCCAACGTGGTAGCAAATACTAGCAAACACAGGCAGAGGAGAGAACAGTTTCAGTTTCAGTTCAGAGCTGCAGAGCTAAGCCATAGCCAAGCTCCTAGCTGTCTCCTTGTTGCTAACACAGCAAATACCGTTTCAGTTTCCAAACAGCCCTCATTGGCTGACTTAGTTGCTATACCTATTCATTGGCTGACTTTGTTACCATGTCTTCCAGGTCATGAACTGTCACACACGGACATCTATTACACCATTCAAAATCCACAAATATAAAACTGCCAGATAATACCACATAGTCATAGATGGTGAAATAAGCTTCCTGTCACTATAGGGAATGCTTTTGGGAAATAGTCTCCAAATGTACGCTAACAAGGAACCAAATTTCAGCATTTAATGACTTAAACTCTCTCATTGTATATGCATAATAATGTTTACTTATTTGCCTCCAAGGGACTCTACAAGGATTGATTAATTCTCATAAAGAATCTTGAGAAGGGATATTAAATCTGATGTTAAAGCAAGAATTAGTACCAACATCACAATGGAATTTAATATAGGGAAGAAAATTAAGAAATGATAATATTCTTTAACACTACTGTTTTGTCTGAACATTCAGCAATATACCATATTTATCCTCTGGGTTAACTGTTACCCTTTTTATAAATTTAAAGTCATTATAGCCATAGAAATCAAGAATTTCATTGTACATTAAAACCAATAGGATGAACTACTTTTGTCTTCTAATTAACCCAGTGTTTGTTTGCTTAAAGGAACTTAGCTATTATTATTATGCATAAGATTATAGCCTGTTAACAAGTGATACCCAAAATATATGTTGTTGTTTCTAACTGTACACAAGGATAGATCAAATTTCTTTAATGGACTAATGAAAGTGTTCCACATTTTAATGAGGCAATTTTAACCACTGGCTCATCAATGCTAACATAATAGGCTATTCTTGGGAATGT